TTGTGTGAAATTTTTCAAAAAAACTTTTAATAAAAAAAAATAAAAAAATAAAATTGAGTTTGATACCCCTGGTTTAGTCCCTTTCTTCCAACACTTGGCTTCCTGACAAGATTTCCTTGTCCTTTACACTTTTTTTTTGTCTTACCCAAGCTCTTTGGGATGGAAAGCGCCAAGAAACAGGTGCAGTAGGAATTCAGAAAATATTATAATTGTAATAAAGAAAGATAACTATCATGAAAGATTGTTAAAGTTTCTCTCTGTCCTATCCTACAAAATTAAAGCAGGGCTATTTTGATTTTGATTTTCTCACATTCCCTTCCTTCTCAACACAGATCCTTTTCTCTGAACTGTTTGCTCATTTCTTCCCTGACCTCAGGGTCAGCGTTCCTGTACATTCCTTTTCATTTGCAGGTTTGGCCTTGATGGCCATGTCCAAAGATTCATGATGTATTGTGGACAGCTTTCTCAATACATACACAAATATGTACTAGAAAGATGTGTCTGACTTTTTCAGCTTAACAATTTAGCAAAAGCATTTTTATTCATCTTTTTAAAAAAAGGAAAAGGGGAAAAATGAAGGGAAGATGGGAATTTGTTTAGAAGCAGGAGCATCAGACGTTCTTGCTACTCTATGGAAGGGCCTCTATTATGACTGGCCATCCCAAAAGAAATTACATTTCTAAAATATCCTTACAAATGTAATCTAGATCAAATCACAGATTACAGTTGGTATAGGACAGTGATGGCGAACCGTTTAGAGACCGAGTGTCCAACTGCAACCCAAAACCCACTTATTTATTGCTGGGTGCCAGGTGGGCATGGGCCACTGGATAGGCATGGCTGTGGTAGTCATGGCAGATTGGGTGGGTGTGGCCAAGCTGGGCGTGTTCACCTCAATGTTGCTCGTGGGGAGGGACGCCTGTGGGGGCTGGGCAGGGTTGGGGAAGATCCAGGAGGTCTCTGGCAGGTGGGGCGGTGGGCAGGAGGCTCGTCCTGCGGGGTGAGGTGAGGCAAGGCAGGGATGCCATTGTCACAAGGCAAGGTGAGGCAGGGGCCAGGGTGGCTGCTGCCTGACACCATCGGCCCCTGAACACAGAGGCCAGCGAGCGCATGGGTGCTGGGATGCATCCAGCCATGTGGGACCTCGGCGAGCGGCTGGTTGAAGAAGGACAGTTGCCATCTCTGGGGCATGGTGCACATACCTACAGAGAGGGCTCTGAGTGCCGCCTCTGGCACGCGTGCCATAGGTTCGCCAACACTGGTATAGAATCTAAAATATTAGATGAGATGACTTCTACACTTTGATGACTGCAGTTGCAGAAATGGGACTTTCAAAGGTACCTGCCACAAAGGGGTCTTTCAAAGGTATCTGTCTTACAGAAGAGAAGACAACTTGGGGCAGAGGACAATTTGTACCAAAGAGCTCTGGAGCTCTTTATGAAGTGTGAGAACCACAGATTCTCCAGCATTCCTAGGATCAATTGTATGTTGCTCACCTTGAAAATACACCACAAGCTACTGCCAGGTAGTTCTGAATGCTTTGTTTATGTAAAACCATGCTGCATCCATTTCTGAAGAATTGGTTGCATATTAATCTTTGAACCCAAGTCAGAATGATGGTGTTTACTTTTCGAGGTTTAAATAACTGAGAATTATTCTGGTGAAGAACTTTTCAAGTATGGTCAACCAATTAGGTAGAGTATTACGTATAAAGAAAAGAACTTTTTTATTTGTAATTGAACCCCAATTCTACTACTGTATACTTTCCCTGAGGAAGCATGATTGGCACCATTAACATAATATAATATATACCATATGAAGTTCAGTGGACTTTACTACTTCCTTCATTACATTTGTTATCTGCCACAATCAATGGACTTTCTTGTGTCTGTTTTTTTCATAGATTTATTTCCCACTTCATGTTTATTTATAACTTCATTTATATTCTCTCCCCCAAATAATATTCAAAATAGATAAAATATAAAATTGTAATTAATATGTGAAAATAAATCAAAGGAACATCTAAAAAAAGAAATTTACTCTCACTGAAGGGGTTTTACTAATTATTTTACTGCATTACTTTAATTGGATACTAGTCCTAGAATATGTCAAAATGAAGGGCAGGTTAGAAAAACTGAAAAGCAATAAAATAAGCCTGCAAGCTGGAATAATATGCCCCAGTGAATCTCTTTCATTTGTGCTCTCATTGAGGACAAGTTGAAAATCCAGAGAATAGAAAGTTATGCAGCACATTATTTTCTCCCACAAACATGCCTAAGTGGCCTAATGAAGAAACTCACACATACAGGCTTATACACAAGGTGTTTATACACACAAAAATATATTGGAGAATTATCCAGCAATAGCAATTAATGTTTTTCTTTTTGTGATCTTGGCAAAAAAAAAAAACCAAAAACCAAAAAGAACTTGCTAGACAAGTGAATGTTTTTCCCCAAGCTCTCTCTGCCTTAATTAAGCATTCTTGGTATAAATCAATTTGCTCTGTGTAGAACTAGCTGGGTTATGTCTAAACACAGTTCTGGTGTATAAATCAAAATATATAGTTTTAAGGGAAGGGAGAATACATTTGGCAGCTGGATTCCCTCTTGCAGTTTTATTTCTCTTAACAACTTAGCAAAAGTGAGAAAGGGAAAGAAGGGAGAAGGAGAGCCTAAGTAAGAATTAGCCTCCATGTGCTACCCCTATGTTCTAAAAACGTGGTCCCTTTTGCTTGTTTAATGTATTCCAGCTTTAAATAAAATGAATAAAATGCTAAGAATGCAAATGTGTTGAGTGCTGTAAGTCAAATCCAATATGCTTAGAGAACTTCCAAATTGTGGTGTCCTTTATATTTGAAATGATGACAGGCATCTTGAGCACGCCTTACAAATAATTAGGCTAAACTTGAAACAAATTCCTCTCTGTCGCATTTTGCAGATTGTTTATATCTTATACCAAAGGATTAAACGTTAAAACCATACAAAGGCTTTCAAGAGACCTCGCATTATTATTGAAGAAGTTATTCTGCCTTTCAGTTTCTTAACAGTAAAATCAGTTTATGATAATATAAAAATATAAACTAAAACGACCTTAATGCGACTGAAATCAAAATTCAAATTAAACATAATATTCAACTAACGGTTAAAAGCTTAGCAGATGAGATGTGTGTTTACCATCTTCCTGAATGCTGGAAGAGCAGCACTCAACCATTGTGCAGCCTGAGAATTACAAAAGGGAGGACCTTTCCTGTGTATCCGAAAGGATCCGGAAGAGCTTCTCTCGGCTTATCTACAGTAAGTAACCGGACAGGTACTTGAAAAGCTTTTGTCCATCCAGCTTAACTTGAAAAAGAATACAAAAAGATACCCAGAAAGCCATTCAGGCAAGATACTGATTTCCTAATTTGATGGTTTCCTTTATTTGAATTGGAGGCAAATTCTGAATCCAGAGTGGATCACTGAAAATTTGAGGGGGTTTGTTTTAAGTAAAACTCCCTATCCCAGTTCAAAATTCTCAATAAGATTCATCTTCCAATGAAAAAAAATTAATAAGAAATAAGTAAAAAAAAAAAAGATTCATCTTCCAGAACGTATTTTGGGAAGTATACCATATCACAAAGGGGTAAAAATAAAAATATTCTACCTGTAGTTATGTTCAAGTTAAAACACCTTTGTGGTAAAGGAGAATATTAGATTTAATAATCAATAGGTCTGTTTCTCAACTCTTGAGTTATTTTTTGTATCATATCACCACTGGGAGTTCCAAGTGCTTCCTTGTGTGTATGTGTGTGTGCGTGTGTGTGTGTGTGTGTGTGTAATATGTATGTTATATTATATATTTCATCTTGTATGTTTCCATACTTGCTTCATCTATTTTTGCTTGATTCTTCTCTTTCCAGTCCTTTCAATATATAATATATTGAATATATATATATATATATATATATATATATATATATATATATATATATATATATATATATATATTCAATATAATATTCATTTATCTGTCTATTTATCTAATATATCCAATAAATAAGAATCAACATTCCAAACTTTTATCTTTAAAGACATTAAGCATAATTATTCTCAAAGATGCTAACTTTGACTTTATGGTCCTTACTTATTCATTGCTTAGCTTTTTTTTTAACTGGGTAAAATAATTGTAAATATTGTATTTGTGGGCTTCCTCTTATGTCTTTTTGTTCTTGCCAGTTAAGTTAAGAAATAGATGGAAGAATCTCTTTGTCCCTTCCTTCCTTCCTTCCTTCCTTCCTTCCTTCCTTCCTTCCTTCCTTCCTTCCTTCCTTCCTTCCTTCCTTCCTTCTTCCCTCCCTCCCTCCCTCCCTCCCTCCCTCCCTCCCTTCTCTGCTTTTTTCAAATCATATTCTTAGCTGGCTCACAGGTGACACAAGTTACATTGGGTTACTTCCAGAACTGAAGGTCTGGTTTTAATACAGAAGAGTGGTCCATGCTGATCCACAATTGTGAGGAAGCTTTACTGTACAGTAAGCAAGTGAGACTTTCTTTGATCTAATTGGTATAGTATTGATTAATAGTTTTTACGCAGGCTTCTCCCAATGCTATAGTAGAGCCTTTAGAGCCCTTCAAAAATGGCTGCTGAGTTGTAGTGGTATTCCAGCATGGCATTGTTTTCATTGCTGTGCACTACAGAAGTAAACAACTTAACTCAGTGATTTTAAAAGAGAGGAGGCCGGAAGAGAGTGAATTCAGTCAGACCCAGAATCATGGGGCTGGACAACAGTTGGTAACAATAGCAAATAGAGGCGCTGATCTCCTTTATCTTCTCTTGATAGTTAGATAATTTAGAGAGAAAATGATTAGTAAGTAGGATCATTTAGCCAATTTAAGAACTGTATTATTAAGAACAAAAAAACAAATGCGAATCATGAAGTTTGTCTATTCTCTCATTTTCTTTAATATTGCAACTTTTTGCTAATTCAAAAATGACATTTGACAGTTGTGTTATTCCTTGCTGGTTCTAAGGTATCCTGTTTGTTTCATCCTGCTCTGTATGTTATCAAAATGCAACAGAATCACGAGTGTATGATCTTTTATGCCAGGTCTTTGCTGAGGATATTTTAAAGCATGTTGTCTTTTGTGAAAAATCCTCCAACTTTCTTTCTCTCAAAGCACATCTTTTACATTACATTTCTTCTGCCATGTCCTAAAATGAATGAAATGAAGTGAAAGTTAATTAACTAACCTACTTTTTTGCATCTTGAAAGAAGTCAACAAGTTAATCCTATAGTAGCTAGGAACAATTATTTTATTTTATTTTATTTTGTGGCTTCCAAAAAGCCACAAACATGAAAGTAAAATGCCACAAAGCATAATTTATGCATTCATCATTGTTGACTCCACAATGCACTTTATTTCTGAGATGCAGAAGAATGCAAAGCTGTGAAAATTACACAGAATATGACTAATACGATTTAAACTAAATCTCTCTGTACAGTGTCCAGCTGAATATAGGCTGAGCTTTGAAATAAATCTGTGTAAGGATGGTCAGAATATAACATTTTAATAGTAAGACAAGTTGAGAAATATGTAGAACTGTAGAAAACTGTACAAAAGTGTTAAAAAATCAAAAATACTCAATATACACAAAATATATAAATCAAAAAGTACATTAGGAACAAACAAAATAAAAGACAACACAGAACACTTATAGAGATCTGTGTAGAATACCTGGCTTCACACAATGGTTTAACCAAGATTTGTTTGCCTTACCTCCCCCCCATCGTACCTCATTGTGTGAGATAGTGAACAGTATAACCCTATTATACTGACCAACATGCCTCTGGCCAGGAGAAAAATATGGTGACCTACTCCAGTTTTCCCCATCATAAAACGTGATGGATCGACTTAAAGATATGGAAGCTATGGTACCCAGCAATGAGTCCCCCTGGCTGGGAGGTACCAATAAAGTTACAGGAGGAAAGCAAAGAAATTATCATAGTAATAGGAGCATCCATGACACGGATACCAAAGAATATCAAAGAAAGGTGAAACTTTTTCAACCCCTGTTCTAGACTACCCATCTCCCTCAAGGATTTTGGTTGTACTTTACTAAACACAGCATATTGCAAATGCATAAAGGCAGTGATGGGATTCAGCCAGTTCGCACCAGTTCGGCAGAACCGGTAACTAACTTTTTGTTGCCCAGGCCCAGAATTGACTTCCAGAAACAGCATCCACACATGTTTGAATCTCATCACTGCATAAAGGTAGGGAAACTGTAGTATATTTTATGATTGTTAGCCACTCTGAATCTTTGGAATGCAATATAAATATTGCAAATAGACACAGAAATAATATGTGGAACTGTTTGTCCATGAAAAGTAGTGATTGTTGTGAACTTGGGCTTTAGCCAATCATTAATCTAGGTATAAGTTAATTATAGAGAAGTTCAAAGTATCAGTATTCACAGAGTTGAGCACACTGTAACTCTGCTGTTACGAGGACCAGGGATACTTCATTGAAAGCTATGTGGCATTTAAACATCTCATGCACATTGAGGGCTTATGATGGCATTGAGACAATTTTGAATATCTTACTTTATGATTAGTGTTGTGTGGTTGGTACAATCTTACGCCTCTCAGACTTTGAACATGTTGAGACTGATAAGGAGGATAATTGTTTTGACTATGGTTCAGGATGTTTGTCAAAAGGCACATTACTGAAATATTTTATTGTTGAACACAAGACACAAAAATGTATTATGGGGGAAAATTGCTCCACCCTAATGCATAATTCTATTTGGAAACCTGCATAAAGAGATATTTATATTAGGAAAAATGTCTCTAGAAACAAATATGAACTTTACTACTAATTAAAAAAAAAACTCCGAACAGATGTAGAAATGAAATGGGACAGTGGTGGGATTCAGCTGGTTTGCACCACTTCGGCAGAACCGGTAGCTAATTTTTTTGTTGCCCAGGCCCAGAATGGACTTCCAGAAGTGGCATCCACACAGAGAAACGGTTGTTCACATATTTGAATCCCACCACTGAAATGGGATTAATTACATTTTGCACAATGAGAGGTTTTGGAGAGGTTAAATCATGAGTGTCAAACTTGATCGTGTCACATGACGTATTGTGACATATCGCGATGTTTTTCGCCTTTGTGGAGCTGGGGTGGGCGTGGTCTGCTTGTGACGCATTTGGCCCACGGCTGCCAGTTTGACACCCTTGGGTTAGACAATGCTTAGTCTTTGTTCAGCTGTTGCCCTGGGCTCAAGATGTTATAAAACCTAGAGAATAAATTAGGATCCACTTTTTCAGATACAGATCTGTGACATGGAAATGTTTTGGTGCACATCCCATGAGTCTACCCTTAGCTTTTCCTAATTCCAGATGCATCATGGAGAACTTCTAATTCTTCATGTAGGAATCCCCTTCTCCTAACACTTTCAGTGCTGGCCCTTTGAATTTTTTCAAAGTGAAGGAAGCAAGCCAACACTGGTCTAGGAATTAGATAATCTAAAGCAATGATTCATCCAGCAGCTATGTAACATTTGTGGTTCTCAAATCCTTGCCAGAAGATGACTAAAATATCTTGGCAGAAGTTTTAAACGAATCATGACTGGGCCTAAACAAGAGTCTGCACAAGCGAGTTCTCTATTTAATTGAAGGAAAATTAGGAATGGAAAAAAATCTGTTTACCTCAATTGCTGCAGCACTGATGTTGCCTCGGGGGGCCTTTCCAACCACTGCTTTCAACGGGGCCAAGTTCTGACTGAAATTCCCTTGTTCAGGCTTGGTTGTGCGATTCTACTTAGAAGGCTTCAGATGGCACTGTCTGGATGGCTGAAGGGCATCCATTCTTGACTTCAGTTTCTATCCTACCCAAGGATTAACATTTTACAGCCCTGAATGACCTCCCCCCCCCATTTCTTTTCCAGAGACTGAACAAAAATGGAAAGACCGAAAGACCAGCTTTTTCTTTTAAGTCTAGACTGGAAGTTAACTGGAGTTAATTTGGGACCTGTTCCTCTTTTGTTCCACTTTTACCACTTGCAAAAATTTTAGCATCTTTAGCAGACCATTCATATTCTTCAAAAAGCTTACATTTCTATAGAGTGGCGCCACTGGCTGGGCAACTCAAATGAGGTCTCACAAATGCATGAATGAGGGCAGGAAAAGATACTAGATGAATGAATATATTTTCAATGGACATTGAAGAGACAATGTCAATAGACAATGAACATACGGAATTCACTTATGTAATGAGGCAGGCCAGTGGCACACATCAAGTGTGGTTCCCCTCCCCCACAATCATTTATCAATTGTCCTTTAGGAGCACAAACCTGATGGTTTTGTGTGCACAGACTTAAGAACAGATTCTTAAAGGTATATCAGCTTCTGGGTAGGATCTGGATCTGGGATCATTTGCTGCACTAATTAGACATATTTATTTTTATTTATTTATATTCTGCCTTTATTGTTTTTATAAATAACTCAAAGCAACGAACATATCCAACACACTTTCCTCCTCCTATTTTCCCCACAACAACAACTTGTGAGGGGTTTGCCTAAGAGAGTGAAACTAGCCCAAGTCATCAGCTTGGTGGGACTTGAATTAAGCCAACAACAGCAATCACAGTTGGGTGGATACAACCATTATAAACCATGATTTACACATACCAAGGATGAATAAACACAAAGCACTAATCCAAGATCAAACAACCCACCCTAAGGCATAAACATCGTTAAAAACCTTTGGAGAAATCTATAATGATTAGTATAAAATAGCTATTTGCTATAATAGTATTTCCACATACAAAAGAAACAGGAAACTATTACCGTAAACTGTATTGGTGAAGGTATTGGAGAGGGAGACTCAGGTTGTAGTCCTTCTTTAGTCCTGGAACCAGCTGGCTCAGGAATTCTGGGAGTTGAAGTCCACGAGTCATAAAAAAGCCAAGGTTGCCTACCCCTGCCCTATACCATTTCAGACAAATACATGTCTAATTTCTTCTTTAAAACCTCCAGTGTTGGAGCACCCACAACTTCTGGAGGCATGATGTTCCACTGATTAATTGTTCTAAATGTCAGGAAATTTCTCCTTAATTCTAGGTTGGTTCTCTCCTTGATTGGTTTCCACCTATTGCTTCTTGTCCTGCCTTAGGGTGCTTTGAAGAATAGGTTGACCACATCTTTTTTGTGACAACCCCTTAGCTATCAAGTGACTCAAGTTCTTGTTACTAGACTAGACATACCCAATTCCTGCAACCATTCTTCACATGTTTTAGCTTCCAGTCTCCTAATCATCTTTGTTACTCTTCTCTGCACTCTTTCTGAAAGTCTCAACATCTTTTTTATATTGTGACAACCCAAACTGGATGCAATATTATAAGTGTGGTCTTACCAAGGCATTATAAAGTGGTATTAACACCTCACATGATCTTGATTCTATTCCTCTAGTCAAGGATTCTATTGGCTTTTTTTGGCTACTGCTGCACACAGCTGGCTCATACTGAAAGGGTTGTCCACTAGGACTCCAAGATCCCTCTTGCAGTTTCTACTATTGAACCAGGTACCATCTATTCCAGTGGTGGTGAACCTATGGCACAGGTGCCAGAAGCGGCACTCAGAGGCCTCTCTGTGGGCACGCGCGCCATTGCCCAGTCCTAGGCCTTCATCTGGGTTTTATAAAATCTTTTCACTTTAGGCCTCGGCCGCCGTGTAAAAAAAAAAGGTTCAATCAACCAGTCAATTTAAACTTCTCGCGGGAAAAAAAGATCTTGCAAAGTTGGAATTGATTGATTGAACTTTTTAGTCCGACCCAGTCTGCCGTTACCACCACAGCCATGCCCACCCAATTGGCCACGCCCACCCAATGGGCCACACCCACCCAGCACCCGACGATGCATAAGTGGGTTTTGGGTTGCAGTTTGGGCACTCGGTCTCTAAAAGGTTCGCCATCACTGATCTATTCTATACCTGTGCATTTATTTAAGTAAACTTAAAATATATACATTTTAAGTAACTTTTAATGACTTTTTTTATTAGGACTGAATGACAAGGCTTTGTATTTTGTTTATAGCTAAGACATGAAAGAGAAGTTCTTTTGTTGAAATGTCAGGGAAAGTGATAAATTATTGAAATTGTACAGGCCTTGATGAAGGGAGTCATTTAAATACATATTTTTCTTTTTCTCTGCACATTTCCTTTTTCCTTTTTATATTTTTCTTAGTTTGTATTTATTTTTATCTTTGCATTTAAAACTTCAATAAAAATTATTATATATAAAAAGATAGCATCAAGAGGTCATGAAACTATTAATGGAGAATCACCAAAATCCTTTTAAGTTCTTTCTGAGTTGGCTTGTGAGCTTGAAGTAAAGCTATACCGAATGCAACAGAAGACATTTTCAGACCCTTTTATGAAGCCTGACTGTTCTCATTGCTTTTTTAACATGCCACATTTGCTTTTCAAAGGAGGCAGAATCAAGCCTAGAGCTCATAAGGCTTCTGTGCGAAGCTTTGCCGAGCTGACCTACTGCTTACTCTGCAAAGAGAATTACTGTGGAGGGATTCTCTCGCAGTGAGGAAGGCATTGCAAGTGTGTGTGTGTGTGTGTGTGTTGGGGGAGGAGAAGATGGATTGTGATGGAAAGCCTAGTGCAGCAAAGAGACAATGCACCAAAAGCAACTTACAACTTGTCTGTTTTGCAAGCAGCAGCATTTTAAGAGCTTTTAAAGATACCTTAAAACGCCTTTGTTTTCCCTTTCTGGGAGAAATCGGGGCGACTGTCTTCAAAAAGAAATCCAAATGTTAGAAATTATGCAAAAGTAAGCATCATGTGCTTACTTGTGTTTGCTGTTAAAATATAGTTCTATGGTTTATTGAGCGTTGTTTTGCTCATTTATTTCCAATGCAAGCATTTGGTTTTGTAAAATTGTACAATTCTGTTGCTGTTTTATTTATGTATAGATTGAAATGTAATTACTAAAAGTAAGTAGGGTGTAGGTAGTATATTCACAATTAGTGCAAGTTCGAACAATATGATAGGTGATTTGATGTGAATTGTAAATTGATACCAGTTCGCATTTAATGTGCCCCACAATTCAGTTAATATGAGGCTGGAGCATGTATAATTGAGGCTACTTCAAGCACTGTTGCAGTTGAGGTCTTAGACACTACTAATCTTCATTGTGAAAAAGGGAGGAAGAACCTGTCCAAGTAAAACTACAAAATTTTTTTAAAAATAGGCTTGATATTGCATTAGAGCAAAAATGAGATGTATTTTAATGACAAGAACATAATTATAACAATGTTAATATATTATAAGATGTTGGAATCTATGGTTAAATATTTTTATTTTTATTTTGCTTTCTATAACTACTCTGTGACTTTCTTTACCAAAAATTTAAATTTCAACTATATTCTTTTTATACTTCACTGTAATATTTCCTTAATATATCTGTACAAATTTATTTAACATTTTTCATTGCCAACTTTTATCAAGCTCAAACTAGTTATTATATTTTCCACACTTTGTGGAAGTGTGAATTTGAATAATGTGACCATTTCATGGCAATTCATTAACTGCATTAATCAAGATCTACTTGTATTTATTTCTTGCCCAGTTCTAATCCTAATAAAATCATTGTCTTAACTGGGGTGGGGTGTGGGGGTAGAAGGCAGTTTAGTATTTTAGGATGTCATAATTTTGCAGAGTTAGAGAACCTCTGGAATAACCACTTTTTGACGATTGCATGCAGTCAGAATTGGTTAGCGAATCAGAGTTTCAAGTTCTGCAAAACAATAAGAGGTTGAGATTTGAAGAAGAGCTGTTGAACTGTATATTCAAATAAAATCAGGCAGTATGAATGCTCCTTCTGGGTTTATTGCAGAGATTGTTGGAACTAAGGAATATCTTCTCTGCTTTTATTATTTCACAATACTCTTATCCATTTTGGATAATGATGGTAAAGATTTTTTTTTGCTGGCAATTGCTTACAAGCTTGTTTGCAGATAACATTGCTCACATTCCCTCTGACTTAGATGCTATTTATACAGCATCTTATAGGACATAACACAAGTTATGTCTTGTGAGACAAACTGGGATTCCTTTGTAGAGATGGAGGTAAAGTTTTCTGTGGCAGGAGTTCTGCCACCTATGGGCTGGATGTATCTCTGCTTGGGTTCTTTTTGGGGGTAGGGGAGATGCTAGGAAACATGTGTGCAACGCTGAGAGGTGTTCCATGTCTCTATCAGGGCAGGAGTAGGGTGGTCTGCCTTCAAAAAGGCTGAAATATTTCTCCTATTAAATGCAGCAAGCCGTCTCTTAATACAGTATTGGATAACTTTCACTGAATCTCTCACCTCTGCCTCCAACCATTTTTTTGGGAAAAGCTGTTGGAGAAGGGCTTCTTCCAGGGAGAATTCCAGAGGAAGCTGATGGTCCAGATTCAGGCTTGGGCAGAAATAGCATTGATCACTGGTTTGTGACTTGGGTTAGGGCCTGGACTATAGCAATGCACTTGTCCTGTTAGATCTCTCAGTGACATTTAATACCATTTGCCATGATATCTCTTTGGACCGCCTGTGAAAGATGGGGATGGAAACAGTGTTTTGCAGCAGTCACATGATCTCCTAATTGGGTGATTCCAGTCAGCATTCCTGAAGGGGGAATACAGGGGGGGGGGGAATTAACCAAGATCTTGATTATTCCATTATGAGGCACTACATGACTCAACCCTCTAAGTTAGAGGTCCCCAACCCCTGGTCTGTAGACCGGTACTGCTCTGCTGCATGCCAGCAACTGGTCCACACAAACAAGCAAAGCCCCATCCCTGGGATGCAGGCAGCACACAAACCCACACACTCTCCGGTCC